CAGCTACTGACTGCCTCCCATCCGCACGCCAGGGATCAAACCCACAACCTGGACATGTGCTCTGACAGGGAATCAAACCCATCACCTTTCTGTGCACAGGACAAGGCTCCAGCCAACTGAGCCAAAACAGCCAGGGCTCTTTCACTTTCTTAACCGAGTCTTTTAATGTGCAAATGTTTTAAATTTTGTTGGAGTCTAATTTATCAATATTTTTTTAATGCACTGTACCTTTGATGTCATACCAAAGACCCCTTTGCCTAACCCAGTTATTATAAATATTTACTTCTATGCTTTTTCTAAAAGTTCTATAGTTTTTGCTCTAACATTAAGGTCTATGATCCACTTTGAGTTGATTTATGTATATGATGTAATGTAAAAGTTTAACTTTTTGCACATGGATGTCCATTTTTCCTAGCATCATTTGTTGAAAAGATGATCCATTCCCCATTGAGTTGCCTTCATTCCTTTGTTGAAAAATCAAATACGGTCGTCCCTCGTTTATCGCAGTTAATCTGTTCCAGCTCTAGCGGTTGCACCTGGTGTTGAAGGATTCCTGGGGTGCTCGGATACATAGGCCTCCAGTCCATACGTACAGTAATTTTAATTTTAATTGTAATACAGGGGTGTATAAATGACTTAGGCAACCGAGCACACGCTGTATCATTTTCACTGTCTTGATCAACTTTTTAAAAAAAATTTTTATCCTCACCCGAGGACATTTTCCCATTTTTGTTTTAGATAGAGTAGGTGGGAGAGAGACAGAGAGAAACATCGACGTGAAAGCAACACATCCAGTGGCTGCCTCCCACACAACCCCAACCGGGGCCGGGGACAAACTGCAACCGACGTACGTGCCCTTAGCGGGAACCAAACCTGGGTCTCTCTGGACTGTGGGCTGACACTCTAACCGCTGAGCAAAACCGGCTGGGGCTTGATCAGCTTTTTAATGAATATATTTGAAAAAACTGCGATAGAGTGAAGCTGCGAAAGTCGAAGCACAAAGTGGCAAGGGACGACTGTAACCTATAAGGGTTCTTCTCTGGACTCTCAATTGTGTTTCATTGATTATTTTATATATCTATGGCTACAGCTATATTTTTATGCCAGTACCACACTGTGTTGGTTACAGTAGTGTCGAAATCAGGAAGTCGGAGTTTTCCAATTTTGTTATTCTACTCCAAAATTGTTTTGGAATATTGTGGGTCCTTTATATTTTAAGATCCTGTTGTCAATTTTGGGGGGAGGCTGCTGAGATTTTTGACAGGGGTTACATTGAATTTTTAGACCAATTTGGGGAGAATTTCCAGTTTAACAATATTGAATCTTCTAATCAGTGAATATCAACTCTCTGACATGCTTAAAAAAAATTTTTTTTTATTCTTTATTGCTTTTAAAGAGAGGGGAAGAAAGAACGAGAGAGAGAGAGAGAGAAAGAGAGAGAGAGAGAAACCCTGATGAGAGAGAACATCGAATAGCTGCCTCCTACTCCCCCCACTGGGGATCGGGCCCACAACCTGGGAATGGGCCCTGACTGGGAATCGAACCGGCAACCTCTTGGTGCATAGGTCAACGTTCAACCACTGAGCCACACTGGCTGGGCTCCAACATGCTTTTAAAAACACATATACTCTGCCCTGGCCACTTTGGCTCAGTGGTAGAGCGCAGGCCCATGGACCAATGAATTTGATTCCAGCCAAGGGCATGTACCTCAGTTGCAGTTTGTCCCCGGCCCTGGTTGGGGTCGTGCAGGAGGCAACCAGTTGATGTGTCTCTCTCATGTCAATGTTTCTCTCTCTCTCCCTTTCTCTCCCTTTCCCTCCCTCCTACTCTGTCTAAAGATAAATAGAAAAATATCCTCGGGTGAGGATTAAAAATAATAAAAAATTAAAACACATATGCTCTTATAAAATATTTTCAAATAAGTCTATTATATCAATCTTCTATTCATGACTGAAGTAAACTTTTGGATAAAGATATGCAAAACACTATTTGTATCAAATTTTATTATTATTATTTAAAAAAAATATGTTGTGATTTTTTTGAGAGGAAGGGAGAGAGAGAGAAACGATGATGTGAGAGAGCCACATTGATCAGCTGCCTCCCCCACTCCCCCTACTGGGGATGGAGCCTGCAACCCAGGCACGTGCCCTGACTGGGAATTGAACCAGAACCTCTCAGTCCACAGGATGACACTCAATCCACTGAGCCACACTGGCCGGGCTTGTATCAAATTTCAAAAAAACTCTGAAACACTCACATACTTAAAGCAAAGTTCCAAGTACAGTAAACATAACCTTTTCTCTCTTGAAGCATTTGAGGGTGACTCTCTGACCTGATGCCCCAACAACCCCAAATACTTTAAGGGGCATTTCCCACAAACAAGTATATTTTCTTCCATAAGCCAATTGAGGCATCAAAATCAGGAAACCAATGGATACATTTCTTCCATCTAAGCCTCAGACTCTATTCACGTTCTGCCAGTTGTCCCAGTGACATCTCACAGTGAAGGGCCCAGTTCGCAGTCTCAGCCTCCACTTCGGCCCCAGCCCTACCCAGATGGCCCTCAGTGCTTCCCCGACCTCGAGACAGGCCGCTGTGCTGTGTGTGTCCCTGGCCGAGTGTCTGGTATCCCCATGATTAGCTTCGGGTGAAGCACCTTTGGTGCAGTTTTCACTGCAGCCCTCAGGGCGAAGGTTGCCCCTCCTTCGTACCAGCTCCTCTCATGGGTGGCTACTGTGCAACTCCTTGTTCCTCACCGAGCTTTCGATCTGTTCGTGTTTACACCTGGATGGTTCGTGTTTACACCTGGATGGTTCGTGTTTACTCCTGGATGGTCGGATCACTTCCCATTTTACTCAAAGTGTTACAATCTATTACAATCTCAATTTGGATACTCAGACTGCCCCAATTTAGCCAGTGGGAACCCCTTTGAACGGGCTCTCTGGTTCTTTTGGCATGTCCCCCTCGTTCTGGGAGCACGTCCTCGCTTTCTCGCACAAACAGACGTTCTGGGTCATCTTGTACATTTCCTGTCCCAGCCTTGAAATCAGCCATTTCTGAAAGGAGCCCCGACCCATTTGAGAGGAAAATGGTAATCACAACACTTATGGATGCTGGGCATTCTCACTGGTGTTCAGTGGCTGCTGTCAGGTCCAGTTTTTAAAGCAAGTCCAATGTGATCTGCTTCTACTAAGGATCTCAGAATGAAGAGGTTCATAGCGGTTATGCATTTATTTTCCATGTTGCAGGCGTAACCAACAGAGCACTGTGATTTCATGACTTCTGAATGAATTAGCAGGAAAGAGGTTCATTAAGAAAAGGTTGTTGCAACCCTCTAGGCACAATTCCTTTAAAGACCCTCTCGCCCCTGGCTGTTAGTGATGCGCAAGAACTTGCCCTTCAAAAGCACCTTCTCTTGCTTGGATGGGACTTAGGCTCGGTGACCCTGCAAAACCAGGAAGCACTGCACCCATGGGCTGATTCAGCTTAACCTTTGCCAAGTGACATATGGACAGTTGTCCTAAAAGGTAAATAGTTCAGAACAAGCTTCCTGCTTAGTTGGCCAGAGATGTCTAAGGTCACCTTGGCCCTACTGTTGGGATGGTATATTCTGAACGATTCCCAAGAAGTTACCCAGAATGTTATTGCATTTTAGATGGTAGCAAAATTCATTAAAATATTTTTTAGTGTCCAATTCTACATGCCGTCTGAAAAAATTTAATTGTCCTAATTAAAATGTCAGTATTTTTCAAAAAACACAGGACTGACTCTTAATCCAATCGAACACTATTAAATATTATGAAAGCATTAAGATCACTGTTTTTAGAAGAGTGTTTAAAACCGTGAGAAAAATGTCTACTACAGAGTATTAAGAAAAAAAGGGCAATTATGACTGATTTCGTACTGTAGCACCTCAGTTTTCTTTTTTTTTTTTACAGATAGAGTGGGAGGGAGAGAGAGGGAGAGAGAGAGAGAAACATCGACATGAAAGGGACACATCAAGTGGCTGCCACCCGCATGACCAACCAGGGCCGGGGACAAACTGCAACCGAGGTACGTGCCCTTAGCGGGAACCGAACCTGGGTCTCTGAACCGCAGGCCGACGCTCTAACCGCTGAGCCAAACTGGCCAGGGCACCTCAGTTTTCTAAATAGATTGATGTACATCTACAAGACTGTATATGTAACTTAAAGGGTGATGAGTGGAATCAAGTGTTGTTTGGTGTTTGCTTTAAAATATCCCACATGAAGAAGGGACAGAAAGAAACGGGGAGGGGGGTGAAGCAAAACTGGTGGGCGCTGGTGTTTTCTGCCTCGTTCTTTACACATGTACATACGTGAGCAGTGAAAATGCTGTGCTGCACCGGAAAGTAAGCTCTGGAAGGCTGTGTTCCAGATGCTAACCGCGAGTATTTCATGGTACCACTAGGTGGTATGATTACTGATAGCTTTATGTGCTTCTCTATATTATTTTGTATTTTTAAAAGTTTCTACAACGAACATATATGTGTAATCAGAAAAAAAATGGGGTGGGGATGTTCACCTCTCTATAAATACCTGGTACGAGCTGGGCTCGGGGCCTGGCCGAGGACTACTGGGTCCGGGGCGGGAGGCCAGCTCCCGGCCACGCTCAGCGGCAGCTCCTCCCCACCTGCACCAGGCAGAGGCCTGAGGAGGAGAGCAACGGCAAGGCCAGCGGTTAAACCCAAACTCCAGGCCAGGGATAACCGTCAGGATGCAAGAGCAAAAGAAAGCCTGAGGCCTGGGAGTGCTCTGCCTGGGGAAATAGGGGTCCCTGACAAACAACTCTCAGGAGGTCCCCAGGGGCCACCATCTCTGTGTGTTTCAGCAAACTTCACGGAGACCGATTTTTTTCAGACACCTCAGAATGTGGAACCCACTCCATTCCGAGAGCTTGGCCGAGCAGGGGCCGAACAGGCACCAGCTGCAAGAGAAGGCATGTGATTTCTTTATGATGCAAAGATATTAAAGGAAACTCACCTGCAGAGGCACCACAGGACAAACCCAAGTCCACAGTAAGGGTCCAAGCAGATGGCCACTTCTCTAGAGGGGTAGAGCTCACACTGTAGCTTAATGGATCGGCAGAAGGCACTGGTGGCTGCGTGACACATCTGCAAGACAGCAGGGCCCACTGAGCACACGGGCCGACGCCAGGGCCCCGGAGCGAGGTGGGCAGGGGCCGTCGTGACCGAGCTTTGGCTTTGTCAGGAGAGCTGGGCTGCTCAGCTCTCATGAGCCTTCCCGTTTTGATGAGAAAACCACCCCCCGACACACACACACAACTTTCTGGTCCCCAGGACCTAATCACTCTAGCAATTGAAATACCCATGTCTTACACTTGAATATCAGGTCAGTCCACAGACTGTACTGCAGGCCCGGGAAATTAGCGGGGAGATGTCACCACTCACGCCCCTTCTCTGGGTGGGACCACACTTTACTCACAGTCCACCTGAGGCCCAGCAGAGCTCTGCTGGGCGACATGGCCGGGAGAGCACGTGGTGGACAAGCCCAGCTCATGGAGCTCAGAGAAGGCAGAGTTTGCTGAAGCTCACACGTGTGAGCTGGCATCAGAGACCTGGCAGCGAGCCACGGCCGCTACATCAGCGGCCAGAATTCTCTCAGCCCGCCACCAAGGGGCAGGAACGAGCTGCTCTCTAAGCCCGGTCCCAGTCCCACTATGGTCAGTATGGGATGTGAACTATTGTAAAATATATCTAATAAAATCAATTATCTCACAGATGCTTTCTAGCCAATCAAACCCGAGGAACCTGAAAAGCAGCACCGGGAACGTTACCAGGTTCACGGTTTAAACAGGTCTCCAGTTAAGGGGAAGTGCCGTGTTCCCCAGAGTGGGCCTGTAAGAGGGACCAGTGAGAGCATCCCAATAAGGAGGGAAGCCCAGTGAAATGCCTGGGAAAAGTTTGGAGAGAGCCAGGCACGGGGGCCCCTTCCATCATTACCCACAGGATCCCGGGGAGAAGCCCTGGCCGGGTTTCACCATGGATATTTTGCTGAATTCATACCAGGTAACAAAGATTACTCTAGAATCTAACACATAAGTTAGATCTTTTTAGCTTGCTTTGAAAGCCACAATATTTATTCAAGGAAGAAATAAAGTTGAATTTATTCTCAACTTCCTGCCTCCTGGACCAGGATTTAATAAAATTCTAACTAGAAAAATTACTCACATCCTCAGATGAGCAATTAAAACAAACCTTTCCTGAACGCCTGCTCCGTGCAGGCACTCTCTGTAGCTTGAGAACTAAGTTCTTGAGCTCAGCGTAGCACATACAAAGATATTAACCAAGCACTTGTTATGTATCAGGTGTTGTAGTAGGTGTTGGGATATAAAAAAGAATAAAACAACCTGTGCCCTCAGGAGTTTGCAATCTAGTGGGACATTCAGAGACTTAATTCGAGAGCAGACTGTAAAGAGAGCAGAGAAAGGACCCTCCAAACCTGTGGGGCTTTTGGAGGGTTCAGGGGTATTAAGGGTGAGTGAGCACTGACAGATTTCCACATAGTGACAAGAACACACACAGGTTAAGAAAAAGCAGCTAGAAAAGTTGAATGTCCAACCTCTAAACTCGTCCCAATCTTGGACCTGCCAACACCACAAACCCAGAGCCCAAGTTGGGATGCATTTTTAGAACCTGTGTTAAGGAAAGCTTATGAAGATGAACTTGTACTTGTATGAAGAATCAGTGCTACTCTAAAAGACACGTTGAGAGTGGATATATGAATGGGAGGGAATCGGGGATAAGGGCACCTGTATTTATTGTCAGGATATATCTGTGGCTGATCTTGGGCAGGACTGGCTGAAGATACAGTAAGGGCCCAGTCCCTGGGCACACATGCTGAAGTGACAGAGGCACGCCCGGTGGGAGAGAGCACCACCAGAGTTCTAAACCACCCTCTGCGGGAAGCGGAGGGGATTATCAAAAGTGAACTGTAGGTCTGTGCGGGAGTTCTCCACTGACGTCCTTGGTGACTCTGAGCAGCTGTGTGTCTAGGATCTATTAGAAACCTTCAGAGTTTAAATTACACTTTTAAACAGGCAGTATTATAAAACTAAAATTGAACATATAAACATATACTCACGAGTTTTATACTGTCAGACATTCTATAGTGCCCATTAAGGGGAAAACAGTTTACTGTATAAGCTTGTCTCTCTTAACTTTTGGTGTCTAATTGAATACTCAATGCCATTTTTGTCCAAAAGATGGAACTGAGTCGAAACGTCTTCTCGAAGAAATGGTGACCTGTGCAACCAGAGTAGAAGGGCTTTCCTTCTGGAGGACACTGTAAGCCAGATGAGTTCAACTCTGTTTATGCCTCTTGGTATTTAAAGCAGATGGGTGGGATTTTCATTAAATTACATCACAATATATTTCATTTTCAGTACTCGTCAAACACATTTAGCAGTCAAACGTTTAAGAAAACCTTTTTATAAATTAAAAAAGTTCAGTTATTCATCTCTCTGGGGTTTCTAGGCTCTGTAATTATATTAAGTGGAATCACCATGAAGTAATAATATAGACCACTTTATCTGTTTCAAGTAGAGATATCTTTATCGACAAAGATTTAATATGATAGTTCCCACTTCTGTAGATCATGAAAATGTATGATCAAAAGTGTGTTTCTCTTTTGGCTATGATAGTAGAAGGCTAATGTCAGTACTATAATAAGTACTGTAAATGGTGTGAAAGCTAAGTTTTATTTTTAAAAGTCTTCGAACACTTGTCTTATTTTATGTTGTACTTTATTTGGTGTATCACCTCAAATTCTACTACGAAGCAGAGGAAAGGACACTGGGAAGACGGTGGAGCAGGAAGCAGCAGGGACCTACGTTCCCGCCTGGACACCAGCCGCAAGGCAGAGCATCCCGGAGCCAGCTGGGAACTCTGGGGTCTGTCAAAGACTTGAACTTTCAGGGGGCACTTGGATGGTAATTGCAATTGATTTTGGAGAATTAAGACACTACTAGGTTAAAAAAAAAAGTTGAAGGACATTTAGACCCTAGTGAAGGAAATTCTCAAGGGATCTCTACAGGTTGAAATACAAGGACACTAGACATCACTCAAAGTCATGTAAAGAGATAAAGACCTTAGTAAAGGTATCGAAACAGCAATTATACAAGCTGGTATAATTTGAACAGGCTTGTAACTCCATGTTTGTCTACATGATTTAAGAGATGTATATATTAAAGCAAAATGACTATTAGTTTAAACACTATTTTTACTGTAACTTTGGTTAAATTCCACAATTCTCCCCTACATAATTTAAGAGACGAATGCATTAAAAACATTATCATATGATTGGGCCACACGATGTATAAAGATATCATTTTGTGAAATCAACGACTGAAAAAGGTCAGGGGTAAAGCTGTACAGGAACAGTCTTTTATGTTATTGAAGTTAAGCTGCTATAAATTCAAAATGGGATGTTATAACTTTAGGATGTTAAATGGAATTCCCATGGTAACCTCAAAGGAAATAGCTATAGAATATACACAAAACGGAAGGAGAAAGGAATTCAAATGTTTCACTTGAAAAAATCAACCAAGCACAAAACAAGAAAGTAATGCAGGAAATGAATAACAGAAAAGCTACTAAGACATATGGAAAATAGATAGCAAGATGAGAGAAGTCTCTTCTTATAAGTAATTACTTTAAATATAAATGGAATATGTAATCAAGACTCTCCCAGCAAACAAAAGCCCAGGCCCGGATGTCTTCACCGGGGAGTTTTACGGAACATTCAAAGAAGAACGAACACCCATTCTCCTCAAACTATTTCAAAAAATTCAAGAAGAAGGAAGACTTCCAAACTCATTTTATGAGGCCAGCATAATTCTAATTCCAAAACCAGAAAAAGACACTACAAAGAAAAAAAAACTACAGGCCAATATCCCTGATGAACATAGATGCCAAAATCCTGAACAAAATACTAGCCAATCGGATCCAGCAACACATCAAAAAAATTACTCACCATGACCAAGTGGGATTCATCCCAGGGATGCAAGGCTGGTACAATATTTGCAAATCAATAATTGTGATATACCATATAAACAAAATGAAAGATAAAAACCACATGATCATATCAATAGACATTGAAAAATCCAGCACCCATTTCTGATAAAAACGCTCAGCAATGTGGAAATAGAGGGATCATATCTTGACATAATAAAGGCCATATATGAAAGACCTACAGCCAACATCATACTCAATGGGCAAAAACTAAAAGCATTTCCCTTAAGAACAGGAACAAGACAGGGATGCCCACTTTTGCCACTCTTATTTAACATAGTACTTGAAGCACCCAGACACGAAGAAAGGAGAAAGTGAAACTGTAATTATTTGCAGATGACATGATATTATACAAAGAAAACCCTAAAGACTCCATCAAAAATCTACTAGACTTAATAAATGAATTTGGCAAAGTAGCAGGATGCAAAATTAATGTCAAGAAATCGACGGCATTCTTATACACCAACGATGAACTCACAGAAAGAGAAACTAAAAAAAAATCTCATTTACCATTGCAGCAAAAAAAATTAAGATACCTAGGAAAAAACTTAACCAAAGAAATAAAGAACCTATTTGCAGAAAACAACAGGTCATTCAAAAAAGAAATAGAGGAAGATATAAAAATGTGGAAGCACATACCATGTTCATGGATTGGAAGAATTAACATTATTAAAATGTCCATGCTACCCAAAGCAATCTATAAATTCAATGCAATCTCCATCAAAGACATACTTCACAGAACTAGAACAAATACTTCAAAAGTTCACATGGAACCAAAAAAGACCCTGAATAGCCACAGCAATCTTGAAAAAGAAGGACAAAGTAGGCGGGATCACAATACGGGATATCAGGTTATACTACAAAGCTACTGTAATCAAAACAGCCTGGTACTGGCACAAGAACAGGCATATAGACCAGTGGAACAGAACAGAGCACTCAGAAATTGACCCAAGACATTATGTTCAATTAATATTTAACAAAGGTGGCAAGAGCATACAATGAAGTAAAAACAGCCTCTATTTAATAAATGATGTTGGGAAAATTAGACAGCTACATGCAAAAAAGTGAAACTAGACCATCTA